AGAAGCACTGAAAGAGTTCTGAACAGAAACAAGCAATCAAAGAAAACGTAAGGAGATGTCCAAGTCTCTGATTTATATCGCATGTATAATAAAAAATTCAGAACAACGTAACTAAAAGCATACACCCAAATAAAACAACTTTGCCAGTGTGGCTTCGGGTTTATATTGCCACCATCGATGACAGGGAAAAAAAGAATATAAATTCCATGAAAATCTCTATTGTGATATCTTACCAAATAGATGAAGAAAACAGGAATTCTGAGCAGATAAAACTAAAAGAAACAAAAAAAGGCACCAAACAGAATAAATCAGAAGTACCTGGAGTTTAAGTATCAGCAGCAGATTTCTTCAGGAATTACCAAATACAGGTGTCGCAGTGAAGAAGAAGGAAAATTCAAAGGCAATACACAGTAACACACTTTTAGAACCAAAGAGATCCAGAGAGTTTTGGAAATTCTTGTTCAATAATTAATGCAGCAAGTTTTGAAGTCTTCGAGTGGAGAAATGTTTACTACCAAATACTTTTTTTATAACAAAAAAACAAATGCTTGTGTAACGTAGTGTCCCACACGGTTTCTTTGACACGTTTACTTTTTTGTCCTTACGCGAAGATGGTATCAAAACAGACTCATCATAGAGCTGCCGTCCATCAATATATTATTTAAAGCTTTATTTTGTTGGGATTATGATGCGTTTATGCTAAGCACTGATCGTTTCTTTATTGTATTTTTCTTTTGGGTTTTTCTTTATGGGACAATTACCCTTGCAAGTTGCTTTCATTTTATATTTATAATATTTGTTGATGCCAAAAAGTGGTTCGGCATTCTTGGGCTTAACTTAATGATATTGGGCATTCGGTACGATTTTGGGCCTCGGTAGAGCGTGTGATCTGCAATACGAGAAAACGCTCGGTAAGGCCTAAGGCACCGGTGTGGTACCGGCCGAAAGCTCTCCGATGCTTAAGTAAGTGTTCACCCGTTTTGATTTGTTTCCTGAGATGGTAGGGTAAAGTTCCCCATTAATTCAAAGACCATTGTCTGGTCAATAAATTAACTTTCTTTATGTGTTGAGCGTGCCACCGTTAGCAATTTTTCAATTCTAACGGACTCGAGAGTAAAAATAACTTGCGCCCCAAGCTATTGACTTTGAACAAACGATTGTGAATTTGGGTGAGGAATATCTCCCAAGTAAGTTCTTTTCTATGCCTTAGACTGGTAAGGACTTTTACAATTTTTCTCAGTACAAAAATCGGTAGTTCTGGCCAAAATGAATGGTGACAGATTGAACTAATTTCAGGCAGAACTCCCTTTTACAAGGCTCAAAAAGGGAAAACTGACTATACAAAGACAAGAGGAGGGCTGCGCTTCCATTTCTGCCTGGGTAGTTGCCTCTGTTCTGGGCTGGACTGGATGTTTCGGCGCTGGACTGGACTCTGAACAGCTTCAACTGTTAGGCTTCGGCTGCCAATCGATACCAAAGCTTGAGTTTGGCAGAGCTTTAATCTATTTCGAACCCTGGAAGGCTTTTGGATGGGCAGAACTAGGACCTCTCCAGTCTGAAAGGGACAGAAGTGGCTGGACTTGAGCTGGAGGCGTACTTAGTCAGGGCTCTTCATAAATTTGTTGAGGTTTTCGTATTTGAGAAAACTCAAACTCTGCTTGTCTTGGCTTTTGCTGAACCAAATTTGTAACGAGAGAAATCTCGTTATTGTTGACTTATGAACTGGGATTCAAATCAGGAGCAATGATCTTATTTGTCTTTGCTGGGAGAAAACAAGATGATTCTACAAGCTTGTTGAAAAGCTTTTGAAGTACTTCAGACTCTGAGTCTGTTGGAACTTGTTTGGGATTTTTGTGATCAAGTGATCATTTGAGTGTTTGTCTTTTTGACTGAGTTTTTGGTTGTGTTGGTTGATTGTGTTGGTTGATTGTTCACCCTCTCTTGTATATATAAGAAATGTTTTTTGAGAGAGGGCGGCAAGTAATCAAAAGATCTTTCTAATTTTTAATTGAAACAAACAGGGGTTCTATCCATTTTCTGGCAAGTAAACACTCAACGATAAGTTCCTGAGGTGACCACTTCTGTATTTTGATGGGGTGCCATACCTGTTCTTCCATTTCACCTGTTTCTGCAAGAGTCTGGAGTTTTGAGATAGCTAATTCTCAGCTTTTGAACAGCTCCCTGTTTCCCGCTTATCTTCTTTTCATAAAAGCAGAGTCTGCTTATACTTGAAAATGGTGTTTCTCCAAAAATATCAGATTATTTTTAGATAAACTAAACGGGGTTTGATCTCTTGGCAACTGAGTTTTTCTCAGAGACGTCATTCTTTCATACCTGCCCCTGTTCAATCTTTAATTTCAGCCGAGATTATTGACTTTTCCAAGTTAGTGATCACATGGGTATGTTTCTTTTATGATTTTTTTCTTTTTAATCAAAACTTCCAAGCCCATTTCTTCTTTTGACGAACCTGTTTTGGCTTCCTTTGCGGCCCAGGTTTCCTAATGTTCTTTGGGCCACGTGATATTTGCTTTGGCCTGTTTGCTCCGTTTAATGGGCTGGGCGTGCTGATGGGCTGAGAACGTTTTAGAACAGATGGCTTAAATGATGTGGACTTTTTTGCTTTTGGTTTTGGTGTGCCAGATTTGGGCCCAAACATTAAGTACGGATTTAGTAAACTTAGACCTTGATTTGTATGCCGTTAGTTCTGATTACCTCTATTTTGGGATAGTTGGCCTCCTTTATAGGCCTTGGGAGGTGTGCACTTTGTTTAGAATTTTGATGTGAGACTGTGGACGTCGATTGTGAGCATGCCACGTGTCCTGTAAGATGAGGTTGCCCTAATCGATGGATCGGTAGGCATGGGTGCCGAAGGCAACCGTGGCCTGGCTCAATTTTGCCCATATGTCTTGTTATTATTGGCTGTTCATTTTGGGTATAAACAATAGTCCCCCAAGTCTTCATCTGAGGTCTCTCGGATGGGGACTTGATGCCTCTTCGGCAACCAAAATGTTTCTTTACCGTTCGGCAGTTCAGCTGGTTGTGGTACTTGGTCTTTGTCTTTCCATGTTTATCATTCGGTAGCTTATGTTTTGGGAACTCAAAGGTCGCCACTTCGTGGACTACCGTTCGGTAGTCGGGGTTTTGTAAAATGGATATCGTCAGGCCTTTCCGATTGATCGTTGACTTGGATAAGCTGGACCTCTAGTTCGTGGCACGCGCTCTGGGGAGGAGGAATGATGGGATATAATGTCGCTTCGTCTTCCAGCCCTCGTTTTGGTGCCGACGTCAGCGCTACAGTGCCGCTACAGTCAGCGGTGGAGCCAAAAAATTCATCAAAGAGGGTCAACCTCAAAAATTAAAATCATCGCATAACAAGATAAATTTATATAATAAAACAAAGTCTTTAGTAATAACTCATAAATCATTCCAATACATTCACAATCGTCCTCGACGAGTTTTCATCTCTTGAAATCTTTTCATAATTACTTCATTATCAATAATATCAAATGTATCTTTCTCAATATATATGATCAAGCTGTCATTCATCCATATATCTCTCATTCGATTGCGCAGATCACTTTTCAATATATTCATAGCAGAAAATGCTCTTTCCACAGAGGCAGTCGCAACATGTAGGATTAGTGCCAGTGTCACGAGCAAGTAAAACCAATGGGTATACCCTATCTTTTTTTGTCTCAACCAATTTTTCTCCAAGATCACTAATTCCTTTCAATCCTGAAAACACACTACTAGATTTCATATCAAATATGTAAGTCTCAAGTTCATCCTCAAGTGCTAAGATATCATTCTCTGAGAAGTCCTTCGGATAAAATTGAGCAAGGCGAATCAATTTTTGTTTGTTGAAAGCAGAGAATGAATCAAGTGGACTTAAACATGCCATACAAAGAAGCAACTCAGTATTAGTCTCTGTAAAACGACTATTTAATTCTTGGAGTTGCATATCTATGACATCATAAAATAAATCGACTTGATAGTAATGCAAATTTGTGAATTTTGGAGCTCTACGTCGTGACCGGCCTGAAGGTAGATAAATATCATCCATGTTAGGAACATCAATATCATATTTTTCACAAAAAACAACAATTTGATTGAGTAAAGAATCCCATCCACTATCTCTCATCTCTTGTCATTGTTGCTTACTGAGTGTAACCAAGTTCATGGCGTTTACAATATCTTGATCTCTCCTTTGCAATGCTTGTGATAACTGATGAGTAATTCCCAACAAATTTTTCATAAGATGTAGACTAAATGCAAAATCAAATGATTCCAGCCAATCTAATAACTTGGTTGCCTCATGTTTCTGATCAATTTTCGATGCATTCACCTTAAGTTCCTCCAGCAATTCAATTATAGATGGAAATAAATTTATGATACTTATCAAAGTACCATAATGAGAGCTCCATGTTGTTTCACCTGCTCGTTTAACAGTGATTTCTTGATTTAAGCCCCTCCCACTTGAAATCTCTCCACTATCAAGTGCTTCAATAACCTTGCTAGCTTGTTTCTCTTGAAGAAAATCACGACGTTTAGAGGAGCCTCCAACAACATTCACCAAATTAGAAACCAAAGTGAAAAGATCATCGATTTTGATATGATTCTTTGCTACAGACACAAGAACTAATTGAAGTTGATGAGCAAAACAATGAACGTAATAAGCAGACTCATTTTCCTTCAAAATATGAGTTTTAAGACCATTGAATTCTCCCCGCATATTACTGGCACCATCATAGCCTTGGCCACGCAACCTAGATATGCTCAATTTATTTCTCAAAAAGAAATCATCAATTGCCTTCTTAAGTGACAAAGTAGTAGTATCATTAACATGCTCAACACCAACAAATCGCTCAATTACATGTCCCTTGCATACATATCGCAATACAATGGCCATTTGTTCTTTTCTAGATATGTCAATAAGAATTGAAAATAATGAGTTACCAACATCTCCAATAATTTTATTTAAAGTTTCAATTGCAGCAGCATTCACAATATCCTTTTGTATATCGGGTGATGTTAACTTAAGATTTGCAGGAGCATTTTTCAGTACAACTTTCTTCACTTCCTCATTTCTATTAGAATACCAATGCAAAAGTTCAAGAAAGTTACCTTTGTTATTTGAATCATCAGATTCATCATGACCACGAAATGCCATCCCTTGTCGTAGAAGATATCGAATACAGTCAATTGATGCATTTAACTGAATACGATAATCACTTCGATCTTGATGTGACTGTTTGAAAAAAAATGTCTCAACATGTTGCCTATGATTTAATAGAGCTTGACACATTCGCCTCGCATGGTTGTGTGCACTATAAGTGCCTCCAACATGAATTTTTAGCTTTTCTTTTTTCTTCCAATTTTTAAACCCTTCACCCACAAAGGAATCACCACCAGCTTGTTCTCCATTGTTTGGTTTGAAGAGATAACAATATAGACAATATGCAGCATCTTTTTCAATACTATACTCCAACCAACTAGCATATTCATCAAACCAAGTAGGGTTAAACCTTCGAATTGTATTCCTAAAATTCATTTGAGGAAAATTGTGTTTTTTAGGTTGGCAAGGACCTCTTTGCAAATAAGCTTTGCGCACCTGATCTTGGACAGTAGGATTGTAATCCAAAATTCGAGTTCGTAGCCTAGGATCTGAAGGAAGATCAGCTAGATTGATTTCCCCACATTGACGTTTTGCAGTACCATGATTTAATGCATCTGTTCTTAGAGGAGGTGACAATTGATCTGTCGCTTTTCTTTTAAAATATTTCTCCATAACTGTTTTAAAATTAAATTTCAGAAATCAGATGATAAAGAAATCATATAAATATTATTGTTCTTGATTTGAGATAATAAACAAATAACTAATTAACTGACCACAAATGCAATGAACTATAAAAATAAAAAAACTACACCAAAAAAAAATTACACTATTAGGGTTAAAGACTTACTGGATTAGTGGTCACAATTCAGTGAAACAAAGTTGAAATCTTGCTGTAGAGTTGGAGAGAAAAAAAAGAATTGAATGATTGATGCAAACAAAGACTTGAAATAGAATAGGTTTAATTCACGCAGTGCAAAGTTGAAATAGAATAGGGTTAATTTAAGTAGTGCAAAAGGTTGTCTCCTTTAGCTTTTAGGCTAGTAGTTCTTTAATTAAGAAGTTATTAAAAAAAAAAGGTAAAGAAAAGAATATTAACTGCAGGGTTAATTAAGGAATTTCAGGAGGGTCAGCTGACCCTTGTGGGCCTGCATTGGCTCCGCCTTTGGCTATAGTGCTTCAGTCTACATCGCTACAGTACCGCTAAAGTCCACTTGTCACGCTCTGGGCTCTCCGATCAGATTTTTTTCTCCAATCCAACGGCAGCTAATTTTTGTGCAATAAAAAAATGAAAAAAAATCAACTTTTTTTTAAATACAAAAAAATTACTGATTTTTTTACCTATAAATACCAACCAATACTCTTCACTTTTAACACCAGATCCTTATACATTTTCTTCTCATTCTACTATTTATTCACTTTCTACTCAATATCTAAATTTTGAATTTTGAAATTCATTCAAAATTTGAACCCAAAAATCTTATCCGGAAATTTTATCCGATTATGAATAGTCTTGACACGTAGGAACCCGAAAATCTTATCCGAAAATATTATCCAAATTAATTATTGAGATAAAAAAAATTTGTGAAAAAAACAAAAAAATGAATAGTAATTGCCCTTTGCCATGACAACGGGTGGAAACACACAATACTATTTGCAAGGGCAACTATTATTCACGTGAATAGTGGCTGGCAAAGGGCAAATAGGTGGAGTTACTCTTAGAGGGTTAAGTAAGGTAGCCGAGGTCAGGCACTTCGTGGGTTGGTGCTGGCCATTTGAGAAAGAATTCTTTCTTTTTTTAATGTTTCCAAGTTGTTGAAGAGTGCAGTAACTCACGTGGGCGTGCTGTCAATGGGACGGTCTAATAGAGGAAACAAGGCCATGTGAAGAAGTTGGAAAAGATAAAAATGCGGGCTGCTGATGGAACATGGCTCGAGGCATCTTTATGGGCTGTTGATGGTGCATGGCTGGCTCTTGGAATGCTAGCAATCTTCTTCCTAATCTTTTTCGTTGGGCATTCTCCCTTCTCTTTTTGACATGTGGAACTTTCTTTTCACTTCAAACAAGGTCATTAAGGGCAAGTCCACCCATGAAGGCAAAGGCAAGGCTAAGGCAAGGCAAGGGCTGCCACTATTCTTGTGAATAGTGCCAGCCTTGCCTTAGTTGGTTCCACCCATGAAGGCTAGGGCAATGACAAATACTATTCATTGTACTTTATTTTCAATGTTTTTATACTTTAAACCATTAATTAATTTTGTCGAATAATATTTTCGGTTGCCACGTGTCACTATTTATTATAAAATTATCACCTCAAATTTCAGATAAAATTTTCGGATAATATATTTGGTTGCCACGTGTCCATGTCAAATAAGATTTTCAGATTAAAAAAAAAAATTATAATCTCATATTTCAGATGAGATTTTCACCCTATAAAATTACGCCATGTGTCCCATGTCAAATAAGATTTTTAGATTTTAAAAAAAATTATAATCTCATATTTCAGATAAGATTTTCACCCTCTAAAATTGCGCCACGAGTCCCATGTCAGATAAGGTTTACAAAATTTTCAACTCTCTCTCAAGTCTCAGTGCACTATTCTTAGCCATTTGCTCCAAAAATTGTGCACATTCATTGTTCGAAGTGCTCCCTTTTTTTGCCTTTGCCACCTTTCTCCCAATAGGTCTCGGCGCACGTGGGAGTGGTGAGTCTTGATCCATTGGGGAGTCCAATGGTGATCAATGCATAATTCTGTATCATTTTGTATCACTCTATCCTATTGGTTGGTTATGTTTTTAGGTAAAACTTGTGCTTTTAATCCATTTTGTGTTTGTTATTCAGTTCATTGAGCTTTAGGTACCACTTGAGGCATTTCAAGCAAAATGGTGCAAAAACGTGCAAAAACTGGAGACTAAGTTAGAAATTTATTTCGGACTTATCTTCTTCATCCGAGCTTGGATTGGGCCAATGCTTGTGTGGTTGGATCAGAGACATCCTGAACTTCAAAATGGACATCTTAAAGTCATCATTTGATTCAGCCAAGCCTAATTCATGAGCCCATGAAAATACACATCATGCTGACATGAGGATGAGCTGATGGATGCTTGGTCATGGTGAGCTAGGCATGAGCTATTGGTTTCTGGATGGAAGCTTGGTTATGCTAACATGAAGATGAGCTATGGCTGCTGGTGGGATTTATTGGTGAAGTGCAGCAACCAATTCTGATTTTCTAATACAAGTGTTGTATGCATTAGCCATATTGAATTCAGATTTATCACTCCCCTCTCCCTATAAATACCACTTCAATTCCACATTCAAGACACACAAATCCTGGGATTCACAACCCCACAATTCACTCCAGCCATCCTCAAACACTCCCACAAACCTAAACACTCCAGAAATCAACCCAACACTCTAAACTGCCTCAAATCACCAAAACAGCTCCAGCAAACATTCCTTCCATTTCCCTACGAATTTCCTCTTTCTCTACCACCAAAACTCATCCCAAATCATTTCCTTGGCTGTCATATATCCTTCTAGATATGGGAAAGCACTTGGAGAAGCATTAGACGTGGAGAAGCACTTGGAGAAGCCTTGGACAAGAACTTCAGAAAAAGGGGTTTTCTACTCTTATTGCATTCATTTCTATCTTAGTTTCTTTCCCATTATGAGCAGTTAAATCAATAGCTAGGGTTTCAATGTAACATGACAAGACAATTTCATGTTTTCAAGTTAATGTTACCCTTGTTGATTACTTCTAATTTTCTGGTCTCATTCACTTGTTCTTAGTTGAATCTTTATGCATGTTTAAATAACTGGCCACTATGAATACATGCATGTTGGTTATCTAGTTCAAGTTTACATAAACATCATATGACTATTGAACCGATTAGTGAATGAGTGAGTAATGCATTTAGGACAAACACCATGTTTAAATGTTTACTTGGTTCCTTTGTGTTCTTCTTAAGCTTAATGGATTCAGATTCATAACTTAGACTAAACATCATAGCTAAGTTGTGTTTTCTGAGTACTTGATTAAAACCAAAGACCATATGGATAATCATACATAAGAAAGAACAAACTCCAGAAATTGTAATCAACTTAGGTGATTGTTAACTTGTAGCTTGAAATTGGATTGTCATGGTGAAGTTGAACCCCTAGTGCTTGTCTCCTTTGTCTCTAAATTTTCTAAACATCTACTTGCTGGTAACTTGCTATTTTGCATTCCCTTTTAGTAGTTTTCAGTCACTTGTTATTTTGCATTTCCTTTTTGTAATTTTCATTCCAACAAACTCAACACATCTTCATTTAAATTCTGTTTAGTCTTAGCATTCCAACAAACTCAACACATCTTCATTTAAATTTTGTTTAGTCTTAGGGTTACTTGTGAGTCTAAGTAGTAGTAATAAGTGTTTTTCATCCAAGTCTCTGTGGAACGACCTCGTGCTTACCTTTCTCCCAATAGGTCTCAGCGCACGTGGGAGTGGTGAGTCTTGATCCATTGGGGAGTCCAATGGCGAATCCGTTGTCGGCGAATCGTGGAGCGGCGTCTCATTCAACATAACCGGTGGAGTAGTGCAAATGATTTTGAATCTCGAACAATTCTTAACAATTTCCCAACATTCGTGATGTTGGAAAGTTTTTTTGCCTTGCCCCGTCGCACCGAACCACATTTGTGCTTGTACTATCTATTAAAAATAAATAATTGCAAATGCAACAAAAAAATGAATATAGAAGAAAATATAAATAATTTGGAAATGCAAGAAAAGAATTGATTATGCAACAAATTATAAACATTTTATAAATGCAAGAAATAAAATGATTATGCAACAGAACAATAAATATGTAAGACAATATAAACAATTTACAAATGCATGCAACAAAATATAAATAAATTATAATTGCAAGAAAAAAAAAATTATAATATGCAAGAAAAAAAATTGATACATTAAATTAAATAAAACAAGAATTATAAATATTTTACCTCATCGGTAAGATTTTGACTGCTTCTATGGTACTCCCTAGCTTTTGTCAAGGCATCCCTCCATTTGCCTAACTCTTTATTCAAAATTTTCCACCTGGAGGCTAAGGCCATTTCCGTCCGACCCGAACCAAATCTTTCAACAAATTCTTCATGAATTTTTTTCTACATTTGAGAAAACTTCATCTCATTGCCGGATATAGGGCAATGACTAACTTTCACCCAACACTCACACAACACAACATCTTCAACATTACTCCAAGCGCCTCGGGCTTCGACAAAAGAGGCCATTTATTTTTTGATACGAATGGAAACTAGTAGAAAAATGTGAGTGGAATGGAAAAAATATTGCAAGGAGAAGAGTTGGTATGAAGATTTGGTGTGGAAGATGAATAAAATTGATAGGTATTTATAGGGAAAAAATCCAGAAATTTTTGGTAGAAAAAATGAGGATCGTCGGATTTATGCAAAAAAAATGGATCGGAAAGCTGGGGAATCGCCACGTGGCTTCTGACCATTGGGGCTGGCAGGCGCTGACGTCAGTGGGCGCAAATCAGCGCAAATCAATTTTTTTTTTACCGTCAGCGCCTTCGGGCTTCAGCACAGGCAAGATCTGCCCGTGGGCTTGCCCATGTTGGTGGGACCCTCCACTTGCCCGGGCCTCTTCTCAACCGCTGGAACCATTTTGGGCTAGCCC